TCTTCCATGTTCCTTCACGTACAACACGCGTCGTCGGCGTCGCCATCGTTGCTCCCTGCTTGTACGTTTATTGACATTTACAATACAATTCGGCGCCTGAAAAAGAACCTGCTCCTAGACACGTAATCGCTCTCGTTCACTGTTTGGTTCGTTCGTTCGTTCGTTCGGCTTAGTTGTTTATTCATTGCCCTCTTATAGCCATGTGTACGTCGTCGTTACAACGACACAAGATGTATCGGAAAAGGGCACACTCAACCAACCACAGAGTCGGCTGTAAGCGATTTACGCGATACCGCTTTCGGGGTCCGAAAAAAGGCACAATATAAATCACATCACCACCGCCGTCGCCGCCGCCGCTGCCTGGGCTTATCTTGATGGCTTACACTCGACATTTTCCTTTCACTAGGAACGATTGGAAATATGGCACAGTTTCAATTTAGAGTGTAACTTTTCCCGGAACATCGGTTGTTTGCTCGGAACCAATATAGAACATAACTTTCCTCCCCTGCCCCTCAAACCAGCGACAGTTTATGGAGACCTACAATCCGGGTTTCACGGTTGCTGCTAGATGAAGTTCCGAAATCCGGTCCCGGGCTTGAAAAATGTACCGCAGGCCAAAGAAGTTAAACAATAGCAATAAAATTTCACACGACAAAAAATGCCCTCTTTCCAACTCCAAAGTTGGTGCCGGCACAGAGAGGTACAAATTGAAAATTTAATTTTCTCTACCCGAATGAGACAGGAATAAAAAAAAAACAACAACTATTTACATAAATTTCCCCCTAGATCGGTTGTTGTTCTTTTGCCTCTGTAAAACTATCAACCGAAAATCCTCTGCTTAGTTAGTGAGTCGTCCGCTTTCCAGTTACTAACTGTTCAACTTTTTTTTTTTTGGCTTGCCATCATCTACTGGGTATTGAACCAAAGGTACAAAGTAGCGTAAACTTTTTCTACACTGAACAGTTTCGGGGTTGCGGGTGGGCAGCAGAAAACAACACGATACCAAATTAATAAAACTTAGTTTTGAAACAACTGGCACTTGGCGCGCTGCGCTGGTTCGAAACCGTTTGATGGGGTGACTTTTTTAAGGTCTTGGAAATGGAGGATTCGTTTCTTCTTTTTCTCTTTTTTTTTTGCTTTTTTATTTTATTGTAAAAATGTTGGATGGTTTCGTTTTTCCATTCTTCCTTATTTAAGTTGGTTTGTTTAATTTAAAGGTTGGGGTTTAAAAATGCGTATTGTTTTTCATAGTTCACTGTAACAGCTGTACATTGGTAGGTATTATACTAATTTAAGACCTTCCTTCTTATCATAGGCCGCTGGTCGAACTTTTCTTCGTACACGGTCCATCGTCTTTGCACGAACCCTGTTCCGACTTGTTTGGCTGCCAAAATCCATTTCCACTTGAAATCCTTCAGGTTAATTGCAGTTCCACTCTTTTTCTTCAGTATGTGCTTCACAATTGACCAGTATTCCTCAATTGGCCTTAGTTCCGGAGTAATGACCGGATCCATCTCCTTGGGAACCAATGTGATGACATTTTCGCTGTATGTACCACTGTTTGGTGGAATTTGAGTAGTGACAGCTTGCCAGAAAAGACAGTAGTCTCTTCCTTAGGCACTCCTTCTGGTAAATTGTAACAACTTCCTATTAGGATTGGAAAGTTGCCGGATACTTGAGAAATTAGAGCGAAGTAAGTCAACTATTTCGTGCTAAAGAAGTGAGACGTGGTCCTTTGGTGTGTAAACACCGCTCAAACTCTCATTCGGGCCAGCTAGCCACTCAGAAGGAATGAGGTGCACTAGTTACTAATGGCCGGGAATTAAACGAGGACGATAAGTAGGATTAGAAGTAAAATAGAATTCGTGTCAGGGACCTCGACCTATCCTTGATTGTTGGTGGGCTGTATGTGAAATCCCATCATCGCAGGAGGTTATCCATGAGATTGTTTGGTGACGTTGAATTAGCGCCATTCCTGCCATGATTTGGGCTCGGGGTTTCCGTACGTGATTAACTTCCATGTATTCACAATTCACAATAGTACTTTAATTACAAATTACACTAATTTATTACAACTACAATTACATGTATACAATGACAATTAATAAATAAACATGAAACAGATAAAATGCACCAGTCCTCCTGGACTCTGTCGTGGCTTTCAGCGCACTTAAGCGAGCTCGTCAGCTCGACTGCCTCGTACGCCCAGCCGTTCGTTGGGATGCTGCGTTGATGGTCCCGAAGAGAAGAGATGTACTCTCGTGATGTGGTGATGAAAAGTGAGGTGGATTCGGACGGTTTGCCATTACCGTCAGGATCTTCCTCTACCTTAGTCCAGAACAACTCTGTTGAGCAGTTCTACCTAAAACTGCAGAGGAAACTTTTATAAGAGATTTGCAGCGAGAACTGAAAGTGACCTCTAAGGGGAATTCCAAGGTAATTGCAAGTAGAATTTCAAGTGAAGAATGAAAATCCAAAGGGAATTCTGTAGATAATTTCAAAAGCACTGTTAGGAGCAGGGCTGGAAAACACCTCAGAGCGTTAGCAAAGCAACTTTGTGCATGCATCTCACAACACTCGACAAAGTGTGTGTGTGGTTCTCCCATTTACTTCGCACACTCTTTTCCAACTAATCTGTGAGAAAGTGATCCGCACAATGAGCGGTACACTCCGTGCGGCACTGGGAGCGAATGTAATACAATAAGCGCTAATGTATTCTTTGAATTATTTGCAGACTTTGCTTACCACGACTGCATGCATAGGAGATGAAGAAGAGCATAACGAAGAATAATTTTGTCTTTTTGTTGGGTTTCCCATTTGCAACCCTACAAAGAGTTGCACTCTTTGCGTCGGAACCGTAGAAGCGATGGCTACACATTGAGCTTTCGTTATTTCTGGGTGTGTGTCTGTCTTCTCTTCTCCGCTGCTTTACACTTGCGCAGGGTGAAAGACAAGCAAGCTTTGTGTTTGCTTGATTCTCACGTTGTTTATTACAGAAAATCAGTACATTGCGCACATTGAGTGATCAGGTGACAGCTCTGGTTAGGAGTATTTCGAAGAAGTTTTGAGTAAAGTTTCAAGGGACATTTCCAACGAAGTTTTGAGAGTTTCAGGTTATTTCTGTAAGTTTGCTGGAGGCGAACCAGTCCCAGGCTGAAAGCCTCCCTAATAAAGAAACCTAACCTAACCTTGATTCTGTAATCATCAGGGAACTCAAAAAAGAGTTTCTAAGGAATTCTGATGACCATTTCAGGGAATTCACGGGATCACTCCAAGAGGATTCTGATCATAATATAGAGGATGTTCCGAAGATTATGGGAAATCTTGAAGAATACAGTAGTCAATATTGAGGAGATATTTTTTCAGGAGAATTCTTTGGGGGATTCCTAGCTAATACAGCGAGAATTGTTAGGAATTTTATTAGAATTGCAGGGTAAATCAGAAAGCGAATTTCTAGAGTATAATGGAGCAAATTGTGATGAACTCAGAAGTAATTTTTAGTTGTTTCTAAAGAAATTTTTGAGATAATTCTGATAAAAAAATCAGGATGGAGGTTCCAGTAGAGAGCCCCCCCCTAGCTTCGGAGTTGGGAGTTTCAAAATGGTAACCCTTCTAATTACAGAGATTTTGTTTTACAGCGTTAAGTACGGAGTTGGATTTGGGACGTAGTCTTGGTTCAGAGGTGTCAGAGTAAGATGTTTTTGGGTACACGGTTTGGGTAACTAGACCAAGATTGTCCGTAGCGTCGTAGTTGGTCAAGGTTAGTTTTTGTGATAGATAGCGTCAGATGTACAGTCCAGTATCATTTATGAAGCATATTAATGTCACTTTCGTTGACGGATCATTGGCCAGCAGGCTTGCTGAAACTCCCCAAACTCACTGGAGGTTTTAAAACACTCTTGTCCTGCTAGTTTAGCCAGCCCTCACCTCGAGTGAGTGGCGGTAGGAATATGGAAGAAGTAAACAAAAACCCCTCTAGAGAGAGGGAGAGTGAACTTCAGCGACAGGATGATTTGACGTGAGGTGCACTTTTCGAGACTCCGGATGACTTTTGTGTTCGAAGCAAGAAGCTCAGAGTTCACCCAGAGTGAGAGTAAGAGCGTGTGATAGAAAACATGAACATGAATGGCAGCAAACCTCACTCTCAGTTTATCCCCTTTCGCTCACAAGCTCTGAAGCTCAGTGAAATGATTTGGCAGTAGGCATTCTACTCCTCAGAAAAATGCTACGCTCGGCTCATTTCAAACTCTCGAGTGAGGCTCCATCAAGCCTGTTGGCCAGAGCGTCTCGGATACTGGTCGGGATTCCGTATAAGTCCCCGATGCCGTGAAAGTAGGGGCAGTTAACAATGAAGTGTTCGATTGTCATCGTCGTACTGCAGGGTTCGCATATCTTCCTAAAAGACGATACTCCTCCCATAGTGTGGGTGGAGCGTGTATGTCCGCATCGGAGGCAGGAAAAGATGCGTTGGTCGCGCCAGTTTGGGACGTCTACCCATTTATCAATCACGCCTTTCACTTTTCGGATGAATGGCTCTCTTCTATTGGTTCTCCTGAAACCAGGCGATACGGAGGACAGATTTGGCGAAACGGCATCTGGACTGGGAACATTCTTTGTGGCCAACTAACCAAATCAGCCAGTGGCTGCATGGTGGTCAGCTTCGGTATTTCCTTGGATGTCTCAGTGACCCGAGATCGAGACAAAGACAGAATCCTGGAGAGTCCACCTTTGAATGCTTTGTATCCACGGATCTTTGGATATCGGAGATATCAAAGCGGCGGCACTGGGTGTGGTGGCAGTGTAAAATATTGTGATGATTTCCGTCGAGAAAAATCGAGCATTGTTGACGACGCCGGGAAAAGTAACAGCGAACCTACTAGCACCTTTGGAGCTGTCAGTGTAGCGGTGGTGATAATCTCGTGAGCGTGCATAGCACGAGAGTTGTTACCTGTCTGGAATCTTCTACTATTCGAGCAGTCGATGTTGAGGGTTGACGTGTCTTATCCCCAGCTCCGGAAGACCTCAGAATTTCCGGAAGCCTCCTCCAGATAGCTGATAGTCCTACAGCAGAGCGTTTCCGCAACTTGATATTGGAAGGGTAGGGTGCCGAGTTCGATGCAGGCTGATTCGGCGGGGGTAGATGATAGAAGTCCAGCAAGGATCCGAGTTGTTGTATGTGGATGCTAGTCTGGTGTTGATCGAGTCACTAGCTATGCAGAATAGCTCGATACCGTAGAATATTAGACTGTTGACAGTGGCTCTAGCCACCCGGAGGAGAATGTCTCTGTTGCTGCACCTGACCTGTGTGGCTTGGAGACTGATGATGTTCAAGCGTGTGCTGAATTTGGTCTTTTTTTCCTTGATTTGTTTTCCGTCGATCTTGTTTTCCGTGCTGAGCACCACTGCTACCGACGTCAGGGAGGCAGTTCCCACACCTGGACCCTACCTATCGACCCATCAACTCATGAACCGGGGACCAACGGCTTTACTTCCCTTCCGAAGGAAGGCGTGATCAGAGATGTTATGCATCAGAACATCCCGGCGGCGCCGACTGGGATTGAACCCAGGCCTGCTGGGGTGAGAGGTAATCACGCTTACCACTACACCACCAGCACCGCTGAATTTGGTCTTGATATCATTAAAATGATCACCAAACCTTAAGCACCGATCAAAACGTACTCCGAGGATCTTGACGGTTTTTTTGACGTAGGACTACGTCTGTGATTTCTATATATGGGGACACTTTGTGAAAACCGAAAATCGAACATGTAACGAAATTATGAATGATTTTGAACGTTGATAACTCAGCTGCCCTTGAACCAATTTCAATAATTTTATTATCACTCGATCAGAAATATTTCTATGTATCGATCCGACTGTTTCAACAAGAAACTATTAAAAAAGTGGTAAATGTCAAACATTGTCCAAAAGCGTCCACCAATTACGTACATGAATATGCTGCTTCCCCAACACAGTCATCAGAGAGTCGTTAGTAGACGAAACAAGTCGAATTAGCATTCGCCTCCGATCTTCGAGCATGTGTAAATAGGGAGGATGCAATTGCGTAACATTTTGCATACTCTTCGCCATATTTAGAACCACACGCCCCCAACGACCACACAAAATGCTCTCCAGAGTTGTAATCTTGTAACCAAACTTGAAAGCATGGGTGCAAGTGCTTTTGATCGATTCTCTTCATCGACTTTCTGTTTCGTTAATAACTCGACGGCAAACACATTCATTGATATGTTTGTTGTTCTGGATGATAGAAGAGCATATCAGAAAGAGTGTCAAATAGGTTAGTGAAGCCATGGTCATCAAAAGAGGAAAGCGGTGAAGAGAATTGATTTGCACCCCTCTGCTTCTAAGCCCCTTAATTCAGTCGTCGTCATAGCAATGAAAACTAGCATCACACCACTTTTGGTTCGTGGGTTACACTTGCTGGTTGCAATTCTGCTGTTCGACATTTTCGAAGGACCACAAAAAAACATGAAATTACACTATTTTCTAGGGATGCCTAAAAGTCCAATTTATCGATTAACGATTAATCGTAAAGATTTTTCCAGCTATTCGATTAAATATTTATTGAATTATTCGAGAGCGTAACCGACATCCCTTCTTATGCCTACTCGTTTGATTTAGCGCAGCAGAGAAAATAAATAAAAGTACTATTTTATCTGAATAGGCATACAGAAGAACCATGACGTTAAACAGGATCATGAATTCGCCGAAAAAAGTGTTGAGCATCTTTCTGCTAAAGGCTAAGATTTACCAACTTGTTGAGAGAAGGAGTTTAACGAGAAAAAACTAAAAAGGGGAGGAGCATTATCTGGGTGGACACTGATATTCTGCGGCCTTCCAACCTGTTGCAGACACCAGTTCAACCCCTGTTCAGTAGCAGAATGGCCGAGGCTCTTGCGAGTGCCCAATCATTGAACCGAAGAATATGGAATTGTCCGGTCCGATTTGCTGATCCAGCTGCCTACACGTCATCATCATCTTCCAAAGGCTTTAAGCCTGTACTACCATCGGCCCTTTTCAGGGCCACAAAGATTTTACAAAAGAGTTAAATTTCTGACATGTCCCAACTAAAAGTCATATCAAAAGGTTCTTTTCAGGGCAATCATATTCATACTAAGGAGTGTAAACAGAGAGAACTCTGCTCAAATTCCTATTCGTACACAAAACACAAGCTCCTGATGCAATTAACAAATAACATTTATTATATAAGACCACGTAGTCCTACGTCACCATTGCGTACAACCCCATAGGGCTGTCCCTTGTAGTTTTTTTTTAATTGGATCAGGACTCCGTTCGATGTAATGGCCTTTGGTAGAGGACGATTGCGAAATCTAAACAAGCGGGACATACTCTTTTCAGCCGAATCCGGCCGGTGTGGCCGGCTTTGGTTTTCCTATGCAATTGCTTCAGGGTGCGGCCGATTGAAAGCAGCTAGGGCCTCGAAGATACACCATTCATGGCAATCAGAAAGATAGTGACTAAGACGGATCCTTGAAGAGCATCTGTCTCTTCCATCCGGTGATGAGCGGTGATTACCGATGATTACTTGAAAGATTCTTTTGCGAATTGTTAACGAAATGCAGTAGATGGCCACTTAGACCCCAGTCAGTCAGTTGTTGGATGATCCGTGGGGTCCATGCGCGGTCGTAGGCTTTTTCCAGGTCTAGGGACACGATGTTCACATCTCTGCATCCTGCAACACCACCCCAAGGCCGGCAAAGGTGTGTTGCCGGTGGACAAGGAAATCGTTGTCCTCAAGATGGCGAATCAGACGGTGGTTGACCATTCGCTCCAATATTTTGCTAGCTCAAAAGATGGGGCGAAAGTTATTTGGAGTCGAGGCTTTTCTTGGGGATAGGGACTACCAGGCTATGTATCCATTCCGTGGGCATGGTATTTTCCATCCATCGTTCAGAATGACCAGAAAAGCTAACTTGGTGCTATGCGGAAGATGTTGAACCATAGGATAACCTATATTGTCCGGGTCGGCCGACTTCCCCTTGCATCGACTCAACGCCAGGTGGAGTTCGTCGATGCGGAAAGAGACATTGATAGGTAAAGGAGGAGCGTGCTCCGGGATGGTGAAATTATCAAGGGAAGGAGTAGTGGAATTTGTTGGGTGCATGAAGGCAAATAGGGAAACGAAGTGATCAGCAAGAACATCGGCAATGGTTGAAGGATCACGCGTAGGGCCGTCAGGCAGACGGATAGCCAAACGTTGAGCCTTCTTTTTCCCGTTTAAGGCGTTGATTCGGATCCATATCTCTTATGCCGTTTGGTTGGCGTTGATACTGGTTAAAAACTCTTCCCAGCTGGTTTCGCTTGGCTTTAACAGCTGTTTTGGTTAAGAGACCGCTTACCAGATTTTTTCAGAAGTCTGCGAAAAATATCTGTAAATTTCAAAAATTTCTATAATTGGACTGCATAAAATTAGCAGAAGTTTTGCGTGTGATGGGGGGGGGAGGGAGATGTTCTTCCAACTTCCATCCAAAGTTACCACATTCTACGGTATCGAGCTAGCACTTGCCTTCCGAAGGGAGCAAACGAAACGAACGACCTGCAGCGGGTTACATTTGAATGCATGCTCCTCTCCCTCGCTACCATCACCTCTCACGACATTACCTAGTGACGACCACCGATAGTCCAACACAGCACATAACAAGCCCGATCTCAGTGCCGCCGTTGAAAAAAAAAACATTCGGTTTCAATTTTCGAAAGGCAACAGACTCCATAAAAATGAGCATTGCTTGCTTTTGCTTGCCACTGGCAGCCTCCGAACCGAACCGAACCAGCTGTGAAAAGAGATACCCACCTCTCCCGTGCAACACACATAGCGAAAGTTAACATTTGAAGTTTATCTTGCAGCATAAATCATAATCGCGCAAACTTGATCGGGTGGGTCGCGAAGAAGGGGGAACGCGGACCGTGTGGAGATTTGTGGTTGCAAGTCGTTCGGCTCGGAGTGGGAGTGGGAGTGGGACGACGGGAGGGACGAAAAATTGGAATTGAATTATCTCTCTTCTGGCACACAAGGTCGGGGATTCCGATGTATATTTTCTGCTCCGCTGAAAAAAAAGGTGACTCGAGGTGGGTGGGTTTCGTTTATGGATTTTTCGGCTCCTCAAAAAGGAACTCCGATTTTCCGGGTCAGCAGCTATCATCGTGTGCCCCGTGATGAGCTGCGACAGTGAACCGTCAAGGTCTTCTGGACTTTGACACGAGGAGATAGAGTTGGCTAAATTGAGATTTTTCCGAAATCGAAATCGCCGACAGACACATTTTCCCACCCTCACTTACTAATGTGGCGCCATGCCGTAGATGATAATGTTGATGATACGAAGATATGCCGACCGGGGGGGGGGGGGGGGGGCGGATTTGGACAAAAATTCAATGGTAGGCCATGTTTTGAATGCCATGCCAATCAAAGAGTAGGCGCTCGTTCCTTTCTCATACTCTCTGAGTCTATTCCAAGCCTCATTGCTATCTTCCTTCACACTTGCTCAAACTTCAACTGGATCCACCAGCTTGACTTCTGGTGGGGGCTTATCATCGCCGCCGCCGCCGTCGCCGCTCGTGCTGGGTTTGAATACAAATTGAGCGATAATGTGATGGAGGTGCGGTGTCTGTCCGTGTTCGTCCATCCTTCCGCCCGAACACTATGCTCGGGGCGTGAAAATAATGATTGGTTTGCGAGAAGGAATCACGCAAAAATCTGGATCGGATCGCCAAGACGTGCAGCAGTCGGTGGGAAATCCGTCAGGAAATAAAAACCCGACATAATCCTTTCATTATAACTCAATTCTTCCCTTCGCTTTGCGGCGGTTCGGATACACAACGGGGGACGGGGCCAGGGGCGTAGAAGTTTTCAATCTCGTTTCTTACCTCCGGATTTTCCATTCTTCTACCGTGCTTTCGAACGAAGGGAAAACTTCATCTTTTGCGCTGGCTGGGTGGTATAATAACACGGTGAGCAAATAAAAAGAGTTGGTTTTTTGATTCAAATTGAATTTGCTACGATAGTGTGCCGTCGTCGTCGTCGTCGGAGTTGGTTTTGTCACCGGTCCAAGAATGATCGGTAAGTAACTTTCGAGGTGGATTGTTGAGGAAATTTATATGTTCCAGCCAGCCAGACGGAGACACTGCGTCAGTAGTGGTTCTGCTGGCAGATGGTAATTTATTCTTGGCAGGACTCGGCACTCGTTTTTGAGGACATTAAAAAAACTGCAGTTTTTGCGCATTTTTGCTCGAATCATAGCCCGTGGAAGGAAGCCAAATTCGACGACAAATGTGCGGATCGATTCATCTGCTAAGGGGAAATGAGACGGTTGTTATTAGTTGCTCGTTGGGCAGTTTCAATACTCTTATTTTGGGTATATAAGAGTTTTTAAATAAAACAACTTTAGGTAATACCTAGTTGTTAAATGGTTTAAAATTTAGAAGGAAATGTAAAAGGCATCCGACTAGACTTTCCAATTCAAATTAGCGCTAGTTGTGCAATAATGTACTTACTCACTTGTTGGGCTGCAATTCATTTCTTTGAATATACGCCGTACGAAGAATTATTTTCCTCTGAGCTCGGCCCTGAGCCAAGCGCTTTCAGTCGCCATGAACGTTAAGCGACCTAACGTCCTCCTCAACTGCAAAAAGGTCGCAGTCGTTAATCGTTGACCTTCTCGAGTTATCTGCTGAATATTATCTCCGTTTGTTGCTCTTTCAGCATCCATGCTACATGAGCAGCCCACCGTGGTCTGCCGACTATTCTTCACAGCACCTTAGGCTCGAATACACAATGCTTGCAGGTCCTCCTCGAGCATCGTCCACGTCTCGTGCCCGTAGAAAACTACCGGAACTAGCGTCTTGTACATGGTACATTTAGTACGGAGGTGAAGTTTACCCGACCTCAGGGTCTTGTGGAGTCTGTAGTAAGCACGACTTCCGGCAATAATACGCCGTCGAATTTCTCTGCTGCAGTTGTTATCCGACGTCACCATTGATCCGAGGTACACAAATTCATCCACCACCTCGAACTCATCTCCGTCGATTGTCACGCTTCAGCCTATGCGAGCCCTATCCCGCTCGGTACCTCCAGCTAACAGATACTTTGTCTTCGACGTATTCACCTTTAATCCAACCTTCTCTGCTTCACGTTTCAGCCTGGTGTACTGCTTCGCCACGACCTGAAACGTTCTTCCGACAGTGTCCACGTCGTCAGCGAAGCAGATGAACTGGCTGAACTTATTGAACATCGTGCCCCGCATGTTAAAGCCCGCACGTTTCATAACACCTTCTAGCGCAATGTTGAACAGGGGGCAGGAAAGACCATCGCCTTGCCGAAGTCCTTTGTGAGTTTCAAACGAGTCCGATAACGCACCCGATATCTTCCCGGGAAAACCGTTCTCGTCCATAATCTTCCATAGCTCTTCACGGTCAATAGTATCATAAGCGGCCTTGAAATCGATGAATAGGTGGTGCGTAGGGACTTGATATTCACGACACTTTTGGAGGTTCTGCCGCAACGTAAAGATTTGGTCCGTTGTCGATCGCCCATCCACAAAACCGGCTTGATAACTTCACACAAATCTGCTTGCTAGCGGAGATAAACAACAAAAGATGATCTGGGAAAGCACTTTGTAGGCCGCGTTGAGAATAGTGATCGCTCGATAGTTCTCACATTCTAGTTTGTCGCCTTTTTATATACTGGGCATATTACTCCCTCTTTCCACTCCTTCGGTAGCTGTTCTGTATCCCAGATCGTGACTATCAGTCGGTGCAGACATTTGATAAGTTCCGCTCCGATACCATCTTTCCCAGCTGCTTTGTTGTTCTTAAGCTGTCGGATAGCATCCTTAACTTCACCTATCGTGGGAGCTGGCATGTCCCCTTCATCCGCTGTACCAGCGAAGCCATTCCTCCTGCCGCCTTGGTCCTCCGCCTCTGCGCCGTTCAGATGTTCATCGTAGTCCTGCTTCCACCTTTCAATCACCTCACGTTCGTCCGTTAAGATACCCCCCTGCCTTATCCCGACACATTTCGGCTCACGGCACAAAGCCTTGGCGGGATGCTTTGAGTTTCTTGTAGAACTTGCGTGTTTCATGAGAACGATACAGCTGCTCCATTTCTTCGCACTTCAGCTCTTCCAGGCGGCACTTGTTATCCCTGAAAATATGGGTTTGCTGTCTTCGCTTCTGTTTATATCGCTCAACATTATGACGGGTTCCTTGCTGCAGCATCGCCGCCCGCGCTGCGTTCTTCTCGTCCAAAACCGTCTGACACTCTTCGTCGAACCAATCGTTCCGTCGATTCCGCTCCACGAACCCAACGGCGCCTTCAGCAGCGCTGTTAATGGCTGCTTTCACGCTGCTCCAGCAGTCCTCAAGAGGGGCTTCGGTGAGCTCTCCCTCATCCGGCAACGCTGCGTCGAGGCATTGCACGTACTCAGTTGTGACTTCGGGCAGCTTCAGTCGCTCCAGATTGTACCGTGGCGGGCGTCGGTACCGAATGTTGTTGGCAACGGAAAGTTTTTGGCGCACCTTGACCATTAGAAAGTAGTGGTCCGAATCGATATTTGCGCCGCGATAGGTCCTGACGTCGATAATGTCCGAGAAGTGCCTTCCGTCGATCAAAACGTGGTCGATTTGCGATTCTGTCTGCTGCGGTGATCTCCAGGTGTACCGATATGGGAGGCTATGCTGGAAGTAGGTACTACGTATGGCCATGTTCTTAGAGGCGGCGAAATCGATGAGTCTGAGGCCGTTGGCGTTCGTTAGCTGGTGGGCGCTGAACTCCCCTATAATCGGTCTGAATTCCTCCTCCTGGCCGACCTGAGCGTTAAGATCTCCGATGACGATTTTGACATCATGACTTGGGCAGCTGTCGTATTCCCGTTCCAGCTGCGCGTAAAAAGCGTCTTTATCGTCATCGTCACTTGCTAAGTGAGGGCTGTGCACGTTGATTATGCTGACATTGAAGAAACGGCCTTTGATCCTCAACTTGCACATTCTGCTATGGATTGGCCACCACCCAATCACGCGCTTCTGCATTTCGCCCATCACGATGAAAGCTGTACCTAGCTCATGTGTATTGCCGCAGCTCTGGTAGATGATCCCTATACGTATGTACCGACGATCCCTTCCAGCAAACCTCCTGCAGCGCTACGATGTCGAACTTGCGGCCCTCAATAAATCGGAAAGAATGCGGGTACTTCCCAAGAAATTGAGAGACTTGCAGTGTTCCATGTTCCGAGTTTCCAATCGTTAGTCCGTTTCCGTTGCTTTGGTCTATGCCGATTTTTCCGGTCCGTATTTACATTGCTTGCTTCCTGTACTTTTGTTTTTTTTTACGGATGACTTGTAGGGCCTGCACCAACCCCCATTGTCTCGCCGGGGGACCATCGTGCACAGCACTGTTTAGAGTCCCACGCTGGCAGCAGGATGTTGATCAGCCGCTCCTAACATGGAGAACAGACGCCGTTTTGAGCCGCACCTCCATGGTGAACAGACGCTCGAAGACTGCACTCTCCGGAGAGAGGAGTCCTCCCCCTTCCCTGTCAGCATACGATCAAGGTCCCACCGGGGTTGGGTACCCGATTTTCCTTATGGTTACTCGTACCCCAGCCTGCACCGCGGGGAGGTAAGGATAGGAGTTACTGGACAAGAGGCTAAGGACCGCTAGTGGGGTCTATTTTATACCTGCAGATACATTAAGTGTACATAATACTCATTTGTGAGTCCCGCTATTTATACCATTCCCAGAGTGATAGCTCCTTCCAGTTAGTCAAAATTGGATTCCTAAGTAACAAAATTAAGCAATTGCATCGATAATGACCATGCATCAGAACCCTCGTCTTAACCACTTCAAACTAGGAAACAACGAATAGAAGATTAGGTATCATATAGATGAAGGCTAACTAACTATTTTTTCCTTGTTTTAAGATCATCGTCGGTGGACAAAGCCGAGTATTGTCACTATCAACAAGGCATAAATAGTAACAAGAACTAAGATGTGTTCCTTTGATTATTGAAAATTATTGTTCCTCTAGTTTGAAGTACTCAGGACTAGGAATCGGTGGTAGATCGTATATCCCGTAACGTATCACGAAAATGTGATCTACCCACGTTACGGGGCATTTAAAGTCGCCATCGTCCTCCTCCTCTTGTTCATAGATGCTTCTTTTTCAGCAGCTTCTGTTCACAATATTCCACGCTCACATCACTAATTGATCCTGAATTATCATTAAAAGGCACATTGGAAACACAGGCACTAATTTTCTTTAGTATAGTTGTAGCTAAAATTCTACAAAAAAAAATTTACAGGAACATTAAAAAGTAGAAGAGTCTGTACCTAGGGGCACGAACGGAAGCTTGACGTAGGACCGCTGGTGGACGGCACAAATGTGAAGAGCATGTAGTTTTTTTTTTAATTGATCGATCATCTATAATCTTAACTCTTTCTGCTTTTGAATTGTTGGCGTACCAAATGTGTGGTAATTTTTTTCAAAGAGAAAGTTGATGAAGAGAATTGATCAAAATCACTTGCACCCCTGCTTCCAAGTTTGGTTACAAGATTACAACTCTGGAGAGCATTTTGTGTGGCCGCTTTGTACAGAGTGCGTCTGTTGCTTCAAAGCGTAGACGACATCCATGGCCGCTTACGCATGTTCAAAGTAGGTGACAGCATCACGGATCACATGTTCCAGGAACACCTTCAGCACACCTCGTGTTTTCTCGTAGATCAGACCGGAGACGTTTGACACCGTCACGGCGAGCCAGACGACGGATGGCGGTTATCACGAAGAACCTTGCGATGACGCTTGACACCTGCTCGACCTTTTCATCCTTTGCTACGACCAGTAATTTTTGCTTGTTGGGTAGAAGAGTGGGCTACCTAACATGCCACCACCTTCCAACTGCTGCTATTGCTGCTTCTGCTGCCTGCTCACCCCACCGTCCGAAGTGAAAATGAGTTGAGGCTACTACTACTAAATTTTTTGTTTATTTTTTACTTATAGTCTTGTGGTTTACAATTATTGTACATTTCAATTGATTTAGTCCGATAGCTCTTCATCTTTAGTGATTATGTCTGTAACAAGTTACTGTTTTATTTTAGTTTTACATTGTAATAGTTTAAAATTTGTTTTTAAGGAAAGCATATTTGTTGTTTTTAATTAGAAAATTTGATATTCTACCTACTTATCCTAGTAGCCTAACCTAACGTGCCAGAACCCTAATGATCTGTTGATCGGATCGCATGCAGCAATCTCTGAACCTTTTGATGGTAGCAGTTCTCCGTAATTCCAAGGTCTGAAGACCAGTCAGGTGGTATACCTCAGAATTTCTAGTACGCGGTGGACTGTTGAGGATCATCCTCAGGATCTTGTTCTGGATCCTTTGTAGTTTGAGGTGATGAGAATGTGTGCAACTCTCCCAGATTGGCAACCCATACTCTATGACGGGAAGGATTATTTGCTTGTAGACAGCAAGCTTGTTTGTCAGGGATAGGGTGGATCTCCTATTGATTAGCGGGTACAACGACCTTATCAAGATTTTGCATTTTGTTGAGTTGAGGCTAGACAGCAGCGCTGTTTTATATCTTTTCAGGTTAAAGCAGACTGATGTGCAACCAAGTGGTACTCGATTATGAAGACTGGGTTTGGGAAGAACGTTTATTTCCTGTAAACAGTGATAACATTATCACTTTTTATTTGTACACTGGACAATGCTTGACATTACCACTTTTTCAATAGTTTCTTGTTGAAAATCATCAGTCAGAAGCATTGCTATTGGTGGGTGGAAATATTTCTGATCGATTCGTGATAATATTATTGAAATTGGTCCAGGGACAGCTGATTTATTAATGTTCAGAATCTTTCATAATGTTGTTACATGTTCCATTTTCGGTTTTCACAAAGTGTACACCCATATAGAAATCACAGACGTAGTCCTACGTAAAAAAAAAAACAAAATAACCGCGACCGAAGAATACAAACACATCCAGCCACGAGCATAGCACACTTCGATCTGTTGAATAGTACGTTCGAAAGTGCGTCAAATTTCACCTGCACATTCGCTTTGCTGAAAGATCTTTTTCAGCAATTAAGCTATTGATATGCTGTGCAAATCTCGGCAAAAAAGTGTTTACTGAGATCTCAGCAAACATTTCATTTGTTTGCTGAGATTCAGCTAAGCATTATCCGAGACTCAGCAATCAAATGTCCCTTTTACTGAGATCTCAGTGAAACTTATTTTTGCTCAGCCGAGCTCAGTAGAAAAAAAAACTAAGTCTGTGGAATGCAAAACTACAATGACCGAAAGTCGACTGAATTACTGCAGGATTATCAAGTTGTTTCCGGAAATGACAACATGAATTTCAGGTAGATTTAATATTTTAAAAATTCATTAGTAATGAGGAACTGTTTGGGATAGTGTGACTTGATTCAAGTTTTCAAGTTTAAGTACATAAAACGTTTAAAATACATTTGAAAAGTGTTTCATTTACGCTAAAGCTTGAGTTCATGTAGAAACTATGTAGTAAACTGCAAGAATTGTCATCTGCCCATAATTAGTCCTGAATATGTTCTTCGAAAGAATCTTTGATACAAACGGTGATTCATATTAAACGTGGTCCGGAACTTTGAGAATAGAAAAAGTTGGAAACACGGCTTATATTTGAGTGATTTTATGCACCAATAATTCCCCTCCAGCCACACTGAATTCAATCTAGAAAGACATAAAAATCATGCTGCTCACTAATTCCCACTAATTCCACAACCCGGCCATATGTGCACTGCACTGAAGTCGGAATCCCCCTCAACCTGGCACTTTAACTGGGCCCGCATTTACCACCATACACTCACACACACACCCATCATAAAATGTGCCCTGAAAAGATGCATTATTTAAACAACACAGAAGCAAAGCAAAGCCGGTGACACATTGCTTGTTCTGTCGTGGTGGTGCGACTCAAGCAGTCAACATTACATATTTAGATACGGAAGTTAAATGACGCGTTAATTTGTTGAAGGAAAAGAACAGTTAAGAACTCCCTCAACGAGTGCTTCTTCTCCTCCGGCGCATTTTCATTCGGTGGGTAGTGGGAAGTGAGGAATGGAGCTCAGCCGTCTAATTGGTCGCGGCGGCTCTTTCGTGAACGGCAAAAACTACGCCGAAGACGATCCCAACGTTATCCATTCATTCATCAACCGAAGAACCGGCGGCGTAGAGTTTGCCTCAGTATAACGCGGTGAAGCGAGGGAATTCCAAGGGATTAGAAGAGATTTACGTGCTGCTGCCTCTTCTATCGGATTCTTCTTTTCGAATGTGTCTGTTTTGAATACCTTCATTGCCTTTTTGTGTTGTTGATGCGCTCATTCCCTCTCTAAATCCTAGGTGAGCATGTGCGATGAGATTGTTTACTCACGTGTGTCAGTCACATATCACACACCGACACCGATCAACGTCGTCGTTGTTCGGCGGCGGCTGTGGTGGTTCGGAATCACACGCACATGTTGGTGATGGCAACTATTAGAATGGATTCGTAATTGGGGTGTTTGCAATGATTGATTTATAGGGGGTGTTTCTCGGTGTGGAAATTATTTGATTTTGGAATCTCTTAGGTTCTGTAAGTTCAGGATGATTTTGAGAAGCTGAAGATATTTGACTACTTAGATCTTATCCAGTCGCATGTTTGGATAAGATATAGATCTAAGATCAATATAAGAAAAACTTGGGTGTAGAGTATCATTGCGTGAATACTGAAGGAATAGTTCCAAGGTCAAAATAGAAGGGCACGGGTCATACGAATGATTTATTTCATTTATGTTGTTGCTCTACAAACTAATATGTTGAATCTTAATTTAAAATGGTTCCTCTCATTCAACTTTTCTGATATTTGTAGCAGATGTGTATTTATCTAAGCAGATCCGACAACTGCAAAAAGGTCGTTTTGATAAACAATGTGTCTTCAGCGGTTTCTCAAATAAATGGTTCATATAGAATCACTGTATGATATCCTGATATCCACCTGAACAAACGAATCAACTGACAACCTCACGTACTACCACTGTCATTTATATCTTTCACACCCACCTTTTCCGATAAATTCCCATTTCCCAAAGGCCTCTAATCCCACCACAAAGTCCGAGAGAGTCCGCCCATCCCACACATTCCC